TTGCAGCGAGGACCTTGTAAAAATAGAAATATAGAAAAGTTAGAGATCAACGTTTTCGTAAGATCCGTTTAAAAATTGTCTGAGAAAAATAAAATCCCGGGCACATCTTGCGTCAACGATTCGAGAATTAAGACGAGAGTTGTCATTAGGCTACCGCAAATTTTTTTCGTCACATGGCGAATGATACGAGCCGCTTTTATAGCGGTTTGCATCGTGGCTGTGATTAAACCGTGCCTATAAAACCGCATCGCGAGAGGTAGCCAACCGGTTGCTAAGAATTTCATAATTGGCGTAATTTGGAGAGCAGGATTTCTCTTAAAATTTAACGCAACGGATCAAATGTACAAACGACAATTTAATTCCACCATCTAAATAAGAGCCATTCGCCGAGTTCGTTTATTCATGATAGTTACGAAATTTAAATGTTCCGAACGCCTTAAACAGTGCAGTTTTACGCGCACACCGCGAGTAAAATTTGTTTCCCCCGCTGTATGGAAGCGCGTTCGTTATCTTCCTACGCCAATGGCCGGTGGAGACGCGAGCGACGGGTCGAGGTCGCATTAGGATCTAATTTTCCATAATGGAAGAAGTCCGTGGCGTGGTACGGCGCCACTACGGCGAGGAGACCGGCTAATCGTGGTCCATTCATAACCATTCCCGGCCAGCCGGGCGCGCGGACGATCGCCGTGGTCGCAATCGAGATTGGCCCGAGCAATTTGGACGCAATATCTCATGGAGTTCGGTGACAAGGCGGTCGCAAAGTGAAGTCGGCTCAAAGAGAATGCCGTCGAGTTTGATTGTGGCTTCGATGTATTTTCGTAGAATGCCTCGTGAAGCTAAGATCTTGACCTTTTGGTCCGAGCAACAGGATTTGATGCGCGATAGATAAAATAGAAATACTTACACAATTATAATTTTTTAAAATATATTCGATCTATTTTTAAAATTGCGAATAATTGCAATAATTGCAAGTTCGGTCGATATATAATTACATTACATTTAGCGTGGTTTTGTTTGTTTCTGACGATTCCCACTGATATATGTCTTACATTATAGAGTAACCATCTGGTCAGCGTGATTTCGTATCATCGCACCGCCCGGATAGTATTTACGTTAGATGGTACCCCCGAGATAGACGCATCCGAATAATCGATAGATGAGACGACGCGGAGGTGAGAAAGGAATAGGTTCGCGGAACGAGGGGACGTTATCGGCCGGCCACCCGCTACGAATCCTGACGGCGATTATGCGTACATCGCGTGCCACCGGCGCACAAAAGGTGCGACCCGCCCACGCCCTTGCGTATCGCGGAGTAGGACGGTGAATGGGTGCGCGGGGCGGGAGGGGGAGGGGGTGCGAAAAGGGATGTTTTACAATGAACGGAACCAAAGACGGGCGTTAACGCTCGCGGCAAGGACAAATGGCGGTTGGGCCGCGCGCGTAGAAGCGGTAGCTAGTATAGCTATCGGGTTTCCTCGTTTTCAGATTCCCGCACGAGAGCGTTTCTCTGGATTTATTGCGTCCGCGTGCGCAATCGTGAAGTCTCTTCTCTCTCCCCGTCCCCCTCCCCCCCTCCACTTCCCCCTCGGTCCACGCTCGCGCGAAGATAAATCGTGCGTCCCAATATTTTCAGAGGACAGACAACGTTTAATTCGACACTAATGCATGGATATTTCGCGTCGTTGAGAAATGATTAGCGCCGATCGACTACCGATCACGACGCCGTCCCCGATGGCGCGATAGATCGACACAACCGACATTGTATCTCTCGATGATGGATCGTTGATTGGCAGAGACGGGCCATGGGGTTGAAAGGGAAATGGGGCCTACGGGCCTCACGGGGGCGGATAATGACAGGGCGGTCTCGCGCAGCCGAGGATGGTCCACGGCGCTGGGACCAGCTCTCGGCTCTTGCCTCTCACACGGCCATGTGGCCATCGAGAGATGTTGATGGACTAATAATTACCAAGGAACCAGGCTCCGTGTGCGTGGCGGCTGGCAGCGTCGAAAATGAAGATTCACCTTACGAAGTTGAAGTTCAGATCTTGTCTACTATCTGCTAACGGCGGTGTGTAAGCCTTTGCCGAAACCGGGCCGAAGGACGCGAGAGACGCGAGAGACGGATCGTTCATTGATGTGCCGACATCCGCCGCGGCGTTTCGTGCCACCTCGACAAATCTACCGAGCAAACGTTTCACGTTTCGACATTTCAAATTGCTATACGGTGAGGAACAAACACGCACGAGGGAATCAATTTTCGGAAAATGATTTCCGAGCTGTAACATCGCGGTGGATGGATTCGAAGCTCCCAGCCGTTTGCGATCTCCAATAACGAATACACGCAGCTACATATCCGTAGTACTCGTAGAGTCGCGCAGGAAGGTACGAGGCTTTTAAGACCGAGTGGCGCGTCCCGCCGCGAAGCACAGGACATGGAGAAACTCGTCCGGGACTGATTTACGGACTCGCTGCCGTGGCCGATGCCGGGGCGTAAGTCGAGATTCTGTCTACATCGTGCTTCGGGATAGAGAGACGCCCGACCGCCCGCCCGTTTCTCCGTCCGCTGACCAGATTTATGGGGTGTTCCGCGGGGAGGGAGGAAGAGAGAGGAGACAACCCCCCGTAATTCACGCGTCCGCTCCTTTCCGCCGACCGCGAACGTCGGAGGCGAGCGACGCAAATAAGGCGCGCACCCCATTTCACGAGGGAAATCGATCGAAATAAATATCTTTCCTCCGATTTATCCCGTTGCCCTTCTCGATGCTATTGCCTTCCTCTGCTCGTATTCCGAGTATATTAGATGTAGATAAAAGATGGAATGGAGAGGGATAATAACGTTGAACAAGTTATTGGATGCTGCGGCTTGTACCGATCTGTATAAATTTAGCTCGCGTATACGCTCGATATAGAACAGAGAACGGAGAAGAGATAAAACTTGAAACGACGTACGTTTGTCTAACAGCTAATCTGAGTATGCTCAGTATCGAATTAATTAACGGATTAGATACCGCTCTCTTAATATTCACACATTCAGTTATACAGCAGACATGAGGAAATCTATAATAAAACACCGTGGCTATGTGATTAAAATAATCTCAACATTAAGGATGTATGTGTAATATCAGATTTTTACTCAGTCTTTGCATAAGCAGCTGCTATGCATCTTTGCATGCATAATTGAAGTAAATTAGGTGTGACATTTAAGCGCGGGTAATCGGCGAGAATGTGGAGGAGCGTGAAGGAAATCATGATTCTTTAATAACCCGTAGACGGGGAGAGATAATGCAGATAAGTTTTATCGGCGAGAATACGATTTCATAAAAGATTTTTGCATTATACATGACGTAACGCGAGCGTGGATGCTTAAGCGGCAGAGTCGCCGGCGAGGGGTTGTCGCACGCGCCGCTATAATTACCGATAATGCTGGTGATAATAACCAATTAAGGAAAGAGTAAAAGGTTCGTAACGACGATTAACTAACCGCAAAGCACATCGTCAATCGATACGACGCGACACTGTTGAAAAACATCTAATTGACGTACGGCGCGGCGTTGCGGATTTAATGAATTACAAATAGCAATCGGTCGGCTACAAAACGTCGAAGAGCAAAAAATAATTCGCCGTTGCGCAATGTAATTTATTATACGGCCCGTCGTGCGTAAGTGTCACGTTTTACGACATAAAATATTCGCTCCTGATAGATAAGTAGCGGCGCGTCTGTCTGGTACGCATAATCGCCGCGATGTACGCATAATTGCCGTCAGGATTCATAGCGGGTGGCCGGCCGATAACGTCCTCTCGTTCTGCGAATCTATTCCTTTCTCACTTTCTCACCTTCGCGTCGTCCCATCTATCGATTGTTCGGATGCGTCTATCTTGGGGGTACTGTGTCAGAAAACGATCGAGAGAGAACAGGACGATCGCCGCGAGCGAAATGTCACGGTTTTAAAACGCGTCGTCCTTAAACGTCGAATATTTGTCGTATAAGCCGGAGATCCTTCTCTTTCTCTCTTTCTCTGTCGAGGCGCGCGTGTCGGGAATACGTAAAGGAATGCGCGGAGGTATGCGGGGGTTGGTGCGCGAAAGTTTGGCGCGAAAGGGGGAAACAATTAGCCTGGCCAAGGACCCGCGCCGACAAATTCGCGCGCATGTTCGCTGGAAGTTGAGATCGCGAAATGACGTGCAAACTGAGGGACGCCCTCGTCCGCCCCCCGGCAATACGGTAATCACTATAATTACGTATCGAGCCCTTATATTAATATCCCCCAGCTACATCTCTCTTTCCATCTTCCTTCACCTTCCTCCTCGGTTCCTCGTTCGTCGCCTTGGCCGCGTGAAAGCGGACTTTTTTCGCAAACCTTTCGCGCGGGGTCGATCGACCGCGATTTATTATTGGCACGCCGCACGTTTCTTCGGATCGTTAACGGATGAATGTTTTAAGTAAACGAAATTCCGTTGTCTTTCTTCTCCGTGGGCCAGCTTGCGATCGAATTTTGTACTCGCCGTTCTCACAGGATTCATCGATTAGCGCGGCATCTTGCGATTAAATTAAAAGCGTTATTGGAGCGGTAATTGACGCAGCCGATATTCCTAACGAAAGCGTACTTGGTATCCATACTTCCATCCTCAACAAATTCAATCGAGCGATTCGATTGGCAATCGGACGAATTGAATTTTCCGCGAACGCCAATGAATTGATCGAAAATGGCTGGTTGCGGCGACCTGGTGATCGCGCGACGAACCCTCCCCCCTGCGTGTTAGATGTCGGGAGATGAACAATTAACGAAGGGGCCGCTTTAGAACCGCCCAGACTCGTTATGGAAGTAAGCTGCGAGGGGTCGTGCGCGCGGGCGCTTGAATCACCCGCTTATACTTGGCAAGACACTCACGGAATTTTCCAATCGCTAAAATTACTCGTCCTCGACGTGTCGCCGATTAAGTCGAATTTCCGCGCGCGCGTGACGTCCTTAAAGATATAATATAATATCTCGCTATCCTACCTCGAGATATTCTGTTTCCTGCGCGGGATGTAGTCCCTGCTGCGGTGCCGTCGGCGCGATCGTCATCACGTTTTGCGGATGGCCGTTATGTGAATACTGATATGCGCAATTCATTTCCGAGCCTTCTCTGCACCGAGAACCACGAGCTTTTCAAAAGTCCACTCGCGATCGTAAAGCGATTATATCGTTGATCCCCTGCACGGCGGGACTCAATCCGCTTCTTCGACGATCGTGACTCAGCCGTAGCTTCGGATTCGCGCGTGCAGGGAGACGCTTCCCGGATGACGTCCGCAGGTGCATCGGCTGTATAGCGGCGGCAGTCCGCTCGGAGTGCTTCACGAGCCCTCGTATATCCCGGTAATCACAGTAATTTCTGTGGCTGCCGCTCGGCCGCGGACGAGGTGAAGGAGGTCAGTCGATAACGAGGTCGGTCGAGGACGCGACGCGCGAACGCGGATTCTCACTCTCGTCCGGTGTCGTCCGATAATCCGCGCCCGTCGCGGTGTCGCGGAAACCACGCCAGCCACGCGCGGAAGGAGGTAACAATTATCGGAGGGACCCCGAGATGCACCTCGCGGCGTGCAACAATTATAACTGAGCTTTTTCGTCCCCCACGTAGGAGAGGAGCGGCCCGGCTACGGAGGCGAGCCGGATCGGTATCTCTTTCTCGCTTTTTCTTTTCGTTCTCGTTCTCCTTCTCCACCTCCTCCTTCACCTCCTCCTCCTCCTTCTCTTCTTCCTCCTCCTCTGTCTTTCTCTTTCGCGCGCGCACTCTTTATCTCTTTGCCCTCTTTCTCTCTTTCTCGCTCTCACTCTCCTGCTGTCGCTCCCCTACCGCGCGGATACGCGTCTGTATGCGTGGGACGTGCGTGCGTGCGCGTGCCCCAAGAGAGTGCGTCGAGAGTGGCCGTTCCTAAGGAACCTCGCGAGTACGTTTCCATCCTGAAAGGTGTTGCTGGTGGGGCAGAAACAACGCCCGCCCTCGCAATGGTCCTCCTTGGTACGACCTCGCGATCGTCTAATCCACGTTGCAACCCTAACGAACACCGTTCGCCCTTCCCTTATCCCGTCAGTCACCCCCTCGGTCCCACTCGCCCCCTTCCCCCCCGCTCTCGGTCCCACCTTTCTGCCTGGTTTATCTCGTCCTCCCTCCATCGCAGCGTGGATCGCGCTCCCGACCAATTAAAACGCTCTACGATCACGTGGTTCAGCACAGCGTCCGCTGCTTCGTCTTCCTCTTCTTCGTCGCTCTTCTCGTTTCTTCGCGTCTTCTTCCTCATCCTTTTCCTTTTGTTTCCTCTCTGTTGTCTTCTCCACCTGCGCCACCTTTCTCTTCTCACGATCTTATTGTCCTTGCTCTTCTCTCTCTCTCTCTCTTTCTCTTGAATTTTTTCTTTGTTTCTCTGTTTCTCTTTTTCTTTATTCTTCCTTTTCTCATTACCTTTCCGTTTAGTTAATACTCGAACACTGGATCATCGAAAGACTTTTTTCGAGATCTCTCATTTGGGAGGCAGTGGTGGGTTACAATGACTAGGTTCGAGATATTAATATGTCGTTACGGTGAGGAACAGGTTTCCTGATTTTCATTAGTTAATAGCTATCCTCTGGTAAGGAAAATAACACCGTGTCCAACGACGTCTTCCACATCAATGGAATTCTCTTCGAATGTGCCCATTGATACTACTATACTAAGGTGTACTTTAATTAACATATCTTAATTGAGCAATTTCCTACGTCAACTTTTTCGTTCCCATAAGTATCTTCGAATAATTATATTGATTGTCAATGTAATCGATAATTATATCCGTTAAGTTTTCATTAAATTATGGTTTCTTCCTATTTATTGCAATAATTAAAAATTTAGTGATTCACGTGTAAAAGATATTTACACTGTCTAAAAATAACGATCGCAATAATAATGTGATAACACCGACATTTACGATAACTGCAGAAACGTCAACAAGTTGCGAATACAATTTTCGAGTACGAAGCTCTTCTGTTCAAATATACAAATTTATAATAATATTAGATGAAATTACTTAATAATGAATATAGAGCAGATGCAAAAACGTCTGACATGAAAAATGAAATATCATAGATCAAATATTTATCACGACTTGAAACGTTTACACACCGACACAAGTTTTTCGTTTTCAGACGCTAAATCGATACCATAAATAACAGTATAGTGTATTATCTGAGACATAAATTTCAACGATATAATTATCGTTAATATGAAATTGCAGTCGCAGACAGTCAACCCGATGCATTATTGCCGAGTTAATAATAACGGTCCGCTAGTCGCTCACGTAAACGAGCGCACGCACGTTCGCATAAAGCGCACGGATACCTTGTCGCGACTTTGTTATTCGAGATAAATTGAAATCATTTATGTCGTTTGTCACTAAAGACATTAAACGTGTTCTTGAAAAATTCATACACAGAGATATGAGTTAAATTACTATCGCGTCCGATTCGTCGTGTGCGACGCTATTTCATCGTTCACATTATTGAGTGAAGCAAATATTAATGTCGCATGCATATAAGGCAAATAAATAAGCGTTTGGCATTGCATTTATTTCTCAAATAAATTTTATAAAATATTTTTCTCCATGGGGCCCTTGCTGAATACATCAGCATGACAGTCGCTATAATAATGTTTCGTACGAGTGATCCAATTGCGCCGCACTCGACACTTTAAGACAGCACATCAGACAACCGAGTGTAACGAGTAACCGGTAATTTTCGCGATAAACGATTATTGTTGGGCCGATATTGTTAAGTAATAAATAGTAGAAATCCTTGGACCGCGCTCTGGAGCCTGCGATATACTCGAGGTCAAATCGAGTCAGGTCCGATTATACTCATTCGTGTTCGCGGATTCAATTCGTGTACGAATAACCTCTTCTGATAACTTGATTATTTTTTATTGTCTTTTTCGCTTAATATATAATCTCGATTTTATTAATTTTATCGAGCTATTGAAAAGAAATCGATTATCCAAAAATTTCTTCGCGTATCTCGATTATTTTCAACAAATTGCATTACGCACAGAATATTTAAACCATCACTTGTCTAACAGCAGTTTAATTATTTTCAAATTATAAATTATATTATTGAAATTAATATCGTACATTTATTTAAGCGGATACATATACTTGTGAAGTTTAAATCGAATTAATCTAATTATACATGTCAAATTCAATTTGTATTTTTTGGAGAACCAAATAAGTTCGGAAGGCTCGATCATCCTTTATTATCCGCATCTCTCCAAACGCTCGATTTACTTGAGTTTTATCGAGTTATCGAAGAGTGAAATCCCTGAGAAGGACCAACGATCGCCGCTTCAATGGAGCCTTCTTTCGAACGCGCATAATACTGGAGGTATTTCATTCTTCCTCCATCTGTCTCTAGCGTTTGTAATTCGATACACAGTGGGAACCGCGTGTAATCTCTATTGAATCGCTAGAACGTCTCTCTAGAGAAAGGATTTAAAGGATTATTTCGGCAACGCCAAAGGTGCGCACCCTCTCTCCCACCCTCGCGCACTTTCCATCCTTTCTTTTCCAAAAAAAGACGGCGCTATTCGATATTTTTATTTTTGTGCAACACGAGTGTGGCGATATTTGATTGCGATAGCACGAGTAATATATAAGTCGAGATAATTAATAAGTCGCCGCTAAGATTTCTCGAATCGATAACCAGGTGGCGAACAATTTCAGACTTCGAATTTACACTTCTTCCGCCGTAACGTTCTAAAACTATATCGATCTGCCGAACGACAGTTGGATCCCGGACGGGAAAGAAAGTGGAAAGTGTTAGGGTTGATCGATATACGTGGCACGGGGCCAGGTGGCGCCAACGAGCTTTCCCGAAAACAGAGTAAACCGTCGATCGCGTTAAGGGATGATAAACGATCGTCGAAGGCGGACTGTGGGTAAAACGAGCGAACGAGAGAAAAAGCAAACGACGTTGTGGAGAGGCAGGAGGGAGGGAGGCAGGCAGGTCGACGCGAGATGTGCGGCGGTCAGTGCGCAGTGTGCAGAGAGGGTGAATGATGAAAAATTGTGTCGGCCAAGACTCGTGCGTTCTCTTGGATATGAAACTGCCAGACGGATAGACAGACAGACGGACGAAAAGAACGAATGGCCGTTTCTTCTCCGAGCGGAGACGGGCCCGACGGTCTGTTATTACATCTATCTCTCTTTCTTTTCCTCTCTCTTTCACCCTACTCTCTTCTCTCTCGCTCCCGCGTTCTCCGTGACTTAGGAGAGAAGAACGGATCGCCGCGTTACCGACGAGAGAAAGAATAATAGCCTCCCCCCGCCGTATCCGTGGACCGTGGTCTACAATTAAAACTCTCTCGCGCGCGCGCGCCCGCGTATTTTCAAGGGCGGGAAGAAGAGTTCTCTCTCTCTCTCTCCCTCGTCGCTGTACCGACTAATCGACTCACGCGCTCACTCGCAGAACGTTTCGCAGAACATCAAGGCGAAAATAATCCGCGACTAGACGCCTCTATCCCCTATCTGATACCGGCGTCTCGAGATGATCAAACGAGTCGTTGAATCTCACTTTCTCGCTAGACATGAGAACGCCCGGTGTGCCATGACATTCTACTATGTCGAAACGGAAGCTCCGTCCTTGGCGTCAGGAAACGCCGTGAAATCCGTACACGCATCCCAACGTCGCTCGTCCTCTCAATCCAGGCCCGTCTTGAAGTCGGTAGTAGTTATATACGTGAATCGGAAAGAAAACTGGAGACGGTTAGTTCCTGTCGGCCTAATAATAGAAATCGGCGTTGACGTCGGTAGCGTCGGTGCGGGACGAGCGGAAACACGGAGGGAGAGAAACACGGGGATACCGCCTAGGCGCAACGGTGGCAGTTGCTCGGGTGGTTTCGGTCCGCATTACGAGTTACGCGGGCGGGGTAATCATGATGATTCCGACTTCGGGTGGGTCATCATCTCGTCACCGCGTCACCCGCGGCCAAAAAACGGCCGGCACGCACACGGTACAACGCATTCGCAGCCACGAGCTTAACCGCAGCCTCCGACCACTACCACACCACCCAGCATCACCATCACCACCACCATCAGCGTTGATCGACACCACCA